AAAAAATTAAAAAAAAAAAAAAATATATATATATAATAAGCTAAACTAGTTTAGATATCTGTCAAAAGGGTAAGTTAAGGGGTAGGTTATGATTCAGGGTTTATTCAGGATTTTAAATAAATGCCTTTAGGACTTTACAGTCATGGAAACCAATGAACACCATTCACTGTTTCCACTAGTTTACCTTGGATATTCTTTATTACTTCTTCTTTTACTAAGATAATCAGAATAATCCTAATAAAACATACCACCTTATATCAGAATAACTTACATGTGTTTAATCACCCCAAATCACATGCATATGATGGAGAATAGCTAAATGTAGAGAAGGCAAGCAAATGCTGATGATACACAGGATTATTGGTTTTCATTTATGTAATATTTTTTTCTTTGAAACCTGTCAACTATAAAACATTTCACAATAAATATTCAGCATTGCTGGAATTATCAATAATTGCTTACTATTTGTGTTGTTTATTTTTAATATTCTTAAGAGACATTTTACTAAAATATAAGAATATAGAATATATGAGAATGGATGCTTGATAACAGCTTTTTAAATTTTAATTAGAGTGTAGAGAGGTAAAAAAGGTGGCATTTATCTTTCTCATAAACATATACTTTAATACAGGAATCTAGATCAATTTCTTTAATTAACATTAATCATTTCCCACTTCATGAAAACCCAAGGTAAAATTTAATTTCCTAAAGTATGACTGAACTAAATAACCCTGACCAATCTTGCTTATGTATATATTAAACCCAAATTAAAGCAGAGGTTCAAAGAGGTACACAGAGGGGGCTCTGAACTGAGTTTTCAACCTCAGGACATTTGCTTCACTCAGATAATCTTGACCTTTGGTATTACTGATATGTAATATATATCAGACATACTTGAATATACAAGTAGAGGAGAAGTATACTTAGGATAGAAGAAGAGGATAGCTAGGATCTGATCAGCATGAAAATTACAAAGAAACCTTCACTTACTTACAGATAGAAAGGTATGGAAGAACTTAATAAAATAAAACAGATAAAAATAAAAATAAAAATTCATAAAGTACTTATCACATCACCTCCAGATGGACAACTGTGTCTCCCATGAAATCAATCATCCATTGGTAACCTGATATGACCCCAAGCATGGTCTGCTCAAAACTTGCAAGTAAAATTCATAACTGCTTTGCAGGTCATCAGTTAGTTCCCAGCTTTGGTGAGGCAGATTTGCTCCTGCATCTCTAATAAATCAATAGTGTGTTGGCTTCAGACAGTTCTTGGTTGCTGAAGACCCTCTCTGATCCTTAAATCTGGTTCTTGTAACATAACCATCACATCTACTTCATCTTTCTTCCATGCTTCTTGCTGTATGTTTTAATTTGATTAAGTAAACTACGATTCAAGCATCATAATTCTGTCTGTAAGGCTTATAATCTGTAACCTTTGAAATAGCCTGCTTGGAAGCTTGCTTTGAGACTATCATAGCATCTAAGTAATTTTCCACCACTCCAGCTGGTGATGAGTGTGGGATATAATTAAAAGACATCCTAAGTAAATTATAAGAGAAAAAAGAATTTATCATTGCTTCATAAGTGATCTTTAAAATCAAAGCAATATTTAAGAGCCCCCAATCCAAGAGAACTACTAAAAACTTACCCATAATATAGAATAGAGAAGAAACTAAGCAAAAGATTAGAAAACAAATCCAGACTAAAACCCAATAAAAGCCTAATTATCCACTCCACAAGAACCAAGAGAAAGAACCCCCAAGCCAAGGGTATTACTATGGATATACAGACATATTGGTCTACGAGCATGACCTCTGCTATACAGGGGTACCTTGGAGATAGTGGAGGTTCAGTTCTAGACCACTACAAATAAAGTGTATATCACCATAAACTGAGACAAATTAATTTTTTAGCTTCCCAGTGGATATAAAAGTTATGTTTATACTATACTGTAATCTATTAAGTGTGCAGTAGCATTATGACTAAGAAATTAATAAACGCACCTTAATTTAAAAATACCTTACTGCTAAAAAACACTAAACATCATCTGAACTTTCAGTGAGTCATAATCAATGATCATTGATCACTATAACATAATAATAATGAAGAAGATTAAAATATTGTGAGAATTACAAAAGCATGGCACAGACATGAAGTGGCAAGTGCTGTTGGAAAGATGACACTAATAGGCTTGCTCAAGATAGGGCTGCCACAAACCTTCAATTTGTTAAAAAAAAAATGCATTATCTGTGTAGCACCATGAAGGGAAGTGCAAAACAAGGTATGCCTATAGCCTACCTGTTAATATTAGTAGAGACGGCCATTGAGAAGGGGTAATTTCTCACCACAACAGCAGTAATAGAGACCAAAAGTGAAAAATATTTTCAGTGAGCTAGTAGAAAATATCTATCAGCCTAAAATTACAGGCCAACCAAAACTACATTTCAAGTATGCGAGAGGGAAAAAAAGTTTCCTAAACTGCCTCTTTTATCTGCATTCCTTTATTTTGTTTGTGTTAGTCTATAATTTTAGCGGCATTAATCAATAGCTAGTGATCCTTGGCTGTCCTTTCATCTCTAAAATAAAACACTATCTTTGTGTATTTGAATGATTATCAACTAAGCTTTTATGTAGGATGATCTGATTGCTGTTTCACGGGGAAATTCCCAACTGTCAGGCTTTTCTCTTGTATGGTAGTTTCTCCAGAAAGAAGTAGCTTATCTCCTAACTAGAGGGTAAAAGCCTTTTTACCACTTGGCAGAGAAAGTAACTGTAATTTCATGATATCTTAACAAATTCCCACGTTGTCATTACAATGCACCCTTACCATAAACTATCTGGGGTCCTTGAATATAAGGAATTTTTATTTAACTTCTCAAGAGGATGGAGTGGAGAGGGAGTACTAAATTGAGAAGAGGGTGTCAGCTGCCCAGCAGTTCAGGATAGAGTAGGAGTTTGATTCTAAATGCTAGATTCAACAAATGTTCCTGGCTCCTAGGATCTTTAATTCCTAATTCCTGGGTTCTACTGCATGAATCAGCCGTACTCTTGGGCTTCTAGTACTATCAGGACACGCTATAGCAGGAGTTGGAATATTTTTTCTTAAAAGGCCAGATAGTAAATATTTTAGGTCCCTGGGTCCTACAATCTCTTTTCCAACTACTCAGCTCTGCTGTTGTAGCTTAAAAGCACAACAGACAGTACATAAAATAATGGATGTGACTGTGGTCCCATAAAATGTATTTATAAAAATATTCTGTAACACATAATTTACTGATCTCTGGGCTACAGGTTTCTAAGTCTGCAAAGTCAGTTAAGCACACTTATCCGCTTTCCAGTCTCCAAAATTTCTTGCTTGCTTTCTCTTTGTCTTTCTCTTGCCCTCTGCCTTTCTAAATATTACTATCAGCTTACCAAGATTTTGAGAATGAGCAGAGGCAACCTTAAATGTCAAAATAACGTTCTTTTTCAGAGTATGTGTTATTAAAGAAAAACTTTTAGAATTTTTATTAAAAAGCTAAAATAGCTATAGGCAATATTAACTTTATTAAATAAGTTTGTTGTTGACAGTAGATAATAGACAGCAATTTACAACTATTTTGTGTCAGGATTAAGCCAACAAGTAAAATTATTGAGTATTGGCAAACAGAGTTCACATGGTACAAGAAGGGAAGTATAATGTGGGAAGAAGGAAGGTAGTGAAGATCCTCTGTGTTGTATTAGCATTAGAAGCACTGATATGAATCCACAATGGAAAAAAATAATCAATTTTCTATTTGCCTGCTGAAATGACCTAGGAACCACGACACTCCAGCAGCAATGAATACATCTAGTTCTCAGATCTTGGTTTCCAAGATAAACAAATAGGGTTCTTTAGAAAATAGCTGATTTTAGGTCTGCCCAAAGACAAGTAAAAAAGGCACAGAATTTGGGATATGTTAAACAACAGAACTTGATGTTTGCATATTTAACATACATAATTTCATCTTTTTATAACTGACAACAAATGTCCAATATATAATAAGCTATCTGCCATTGATGGGATACAAATTTTAACCTTTTGACCAAGTTTAAATTCTTAATTCTTAATCTGTAAAATAGAAAATCTGCTGTGTTAAATGATAATATAAAGTGAATTTAAAGTACCTAATATGATACTTAACATACATATACTGTACAATCAATAAATATTTGTTTCCTGTTTTCCATTCTTTTACTTTTAGATTCCAATGACCCAAACAATAATCCTCCCTATGACCTCTATATAGCTACTCTTACTTAGGGTTAGGAGCCTGCCAATCTGATCACAATATTTCATTCTAAGAATAAAAGTGTACCTCCCTTGAACCTTATCAGCCATGTTAGAAATACTATCACTTTAAAAGATAAAAGTATTAATCACAATAATTTTCTAATTTTCTATATGACATTTCAAGGCTGTATATAAAATTTCTAGCAGTGTAAGCAAACAAATTTCAAGCAAATATTTGAGTGTAGGGAAACATTTATCATGGCTAGAAATAGACATATGAGAGGACTTATCATTTTGACCTTTAGTTTGTGGGAATGCATAGGCACCTCTAGGGAAGCTTTGTATGAATTCAGAAATACTTTTTTTATTCTAGTTTCCACAGTAACTCCATATATTTATGTATTTGTCAATTTAACAAATATTTTTTGAGAACCTAACATGTCTCAAGTACTCTGTTATATGCTAGAGATACAGAAGATGCGATACGTCTGGAGATATAGATAATTATACAGACAACTGCAATACAGTATGGTAAGTATTTATGATAATGAAAGTATGTGGTGCACACTGCAGAAGGAAATACCCCATCCATTCGCCCTAAGCAAATTGGGAGCAACTGTAGGATTTTAAGTTGGTGAACAAATCAGATTTATATTTTTGAAAGATTTCTCTGTGCATGCTGTGGTAAATGTAATTGGGAGGGATCAAGAAATCCCAAGAAAGAGTAAGTTTCCCATGGAGTCAACTAACACAGTGAGCACAAAATATAACAATGATGATGATGTTTAAAAAACAGCAGCTAATAAGAATGTAATATCCACATTTACTGGGTGTTATGTATTTTATATTCATGATCTCAATTCCTACAAGTAAACAGTGAAATAAGTACTGCTGTTGGCCCCAACTCTCTACTATTTAACATATGAGGAAACTCAGGCTCAGAAGAGTTATGGGCCTAATGGAACAGGAGTTTAAAGAGAAATAGAATTCAAATCAGCCTGTCTTGAACCACTGTGATATATTATTCTTACTGACATCTGTCCCCACAAAGCTCATTCAAATTATGGACACACATGCTGAATTTTCAGAGATTGTTTCCATGCACAAGGTTTTCATTTCATGTTACGTGAATAATCAGAAGAAATCTTGATTCTAGAGAAAAACTCAATCTCAGGGGCATAAACTAAAGACAAATCACCAATTAGATTATATTTCATATAAAATGCACACTAAATTTAAATGGAACATATGAGACAGAAATAATATTTTAAATAAATATCTACCTGTTAGCAACTGCCTGATACTTTTCTACATCTTTTATTCCAAGCCATTTTACTTGTCCCCACTTGTGAACCCACTCTTTCTCACACTTTGACCTTCATTTGAAAAATATAGGGAACTTCTGTCTCAGAAGTTTCTGGACATGTATTGTGATCAATTTTGTGACTTTTCCCTCATACTTACCTCCCTTTACCAGGGCTATTGCCATCTATGACTTAGTACACTCAGGCTAATGCGGGGGAACATTCTCTCTGCCTTAGGACAGCATGTTGGGTATCACTTCAGTATAATTTCCAAATCTTACTTTGTCACAGAATGTCCATTGCCTAGATCTATTTAATCCTACCTATATTTCAGGGCCAAATTTCATTTGTCTTCTGAATGTTAACATTTAGCATCTGGAGAATAAGCTATATGAGAATGTTCATTTACTTTTTCATTCGTTTGATGTTTGGCATGACTAATACAGACATGACAGAGTATCCTATCTTATCTTCCCAAGTACAATGTTGAGAGAAATTCTGCAAGAAAAGTATCCCTTTATTTGTAAATGTTAGCAGCTGGAAAGGCATGCAAGAAACAGAGAAGAAAAGACAATTAACCAAAGGATAATGTAGATGGATGTGGTAGCAGCTGTTACAGCAAGATTATCTTTACAACCAAACAAAATATAAAACACTCATATGTATGTTTCATGGCTTATATTTCTATTGTATCCTACTACATGAGATAAGTTCAACATGTTTTTGATTTATATTTTTAAGTTTAGTTAAAAAACTGCCAGATTACTCAACGATTAATAAAAACTTTATTGATTAATTTATATATGCTCAATTAAAAAGCATCAAAATTTTAATTATGCTAAATATTACCATATGTTACTAAAGAGGCTGTGATGTTTTCCTTAAAACTAGTTCAAATAGTTCATAAAATATCATTTTGATAGTATATATAAAATGTATATTATTGGAGAATTGTCTAATTTTCTTATTTAAATATTCAGAACATAAAGAAAATAAAACATACCTCAAATTTTTTCTAACTAAGAAACCACGTATCCATCTTTGAACAATCAAAACTGGTGAATTATGAGCCAGAATTGCATTAATTTTTGAAATAATACATTTGATATTATGAATTTCATCCTCATAGGTTGATCCCTGTTTGAAGAAAAGATATACAATATTTATGTTTCATGAAAATATTTCCAAAGGACAATTTAAACATGGTAGTTTAATAGTTTGAACCACTATAATGTTCATAGGTGTCTTATAGGAACAATACATATTCATAACTATTTTTAGATCAGAAGATCAAGAATTAGTACCACCAAATAATTTAAGTTCTTTACAGAAAATGCAAGATCCATGACGATAACTCTCTCCATTCTAGATTCTTCTCCCAGTCTGATATGATAGGTATAAAATTTTGACCATAATCATGTTGATCTCTGAAAGGTAGCTGCATAAAAAGGAATTTAATGAAACTCTAAAAGTATTCTGTGAATCCTTATAGAGGAAACTGAGATACGCTGAATTCATAAAATAATTTACAGTCATTCAAATTTTTGTTGCAGCTTATCTAGAATATTGGAGACTTTTATTGGAACTCAGCATAGAATATAGAAAGAATTCTATATTGACTTTAAAGAAATTATGTCTAATATCTCTTTCTACAAAATTTCATATTTGGGATCATAAACTCCCTATATCCTACTGATCATATGACTTGTTAGAAATAAGAGACTTATGTTTTGAATGTAAGGATTATGCATTAAAAACCTAAAATGTTTATTGTGTGTAAGGCACCTACCCTGAAAATTACTAACCCTACCATATTAAAAACACACACCTTTTCTGTCTATACACTTGATCAGCTATGTGGTGCTAGAAAAAAAATTATAAAGACTGGCAGATTACTACTACTTTAGATGTACACTTGCAAACATACTTTGCTAGTTAGAAAATTCTTTACTTGGCCCTGACTTGCTTCCATTTCCAACAGTACTATCGAAAACCTTCAGTAGTATTCTCCATACTCTTCAAACATTTTCCCTAAAGCTCAAAAGTATTTTGCTTACTTTTTGCAGAGAAAATGGGGTCTTCAAGCTTGAACTCCAGATCTTAAAACAAGAAGTTCCTATTTAATCTTAAAACAAGAAGTATCTCTTTTCCTGTCCAAGATAGGCACTCCTTTGCTGTTAAGTACCATCTCCCTGTTTTCAATAACTTCCTTTCTGTCACTATCCCTTAATCTATAAATATGATGAAGCCACACCCATCTTTAAAATGCACACAAGCAACCACACAAATCCCATCCCTCCATTTTTTGTATCTAACTTTCTTGAAGAGCCCAAATTCTTAAAACAAAATTCCACATTAGTTGTGCCCATTTTCTTCATATATCTCAATTTACTGGCTCTACCCTTATCATTTTAATACTCTTCTTACTAATTTCACTGAATATTCCTCCTTAAAAGAGTTCCCTTGGCTTATTCCCATTACTTCTCCTCATTTCCTGTAACTCTTCTCTACTTCTGCACTTTAAAGACCTATACATATCTGCTTAATGTCACACTGAAAGGATTTTCTCCATTTGTCTCTTTTCAAGCTGAATACACGTTCCAAATCATTTCATAAGATCCTAAGTTTTCCCTTGCCCCAAGCCCTATCACCTGCCCTGGCTTTTCACCACCATTCCCACAGCCAGGCAGTCAGGGAGATTCCTCACTTGTTGCTGCTAGGCTCCCTCTTCTGGGCCGGCAGCTGTTCCCAGACAGCTGGATCAAACTGGGACACTGCCTCAGCTGAACTGCCATGGCCTCCTCACCTTTAAGATATCTGAAAATTTTCATGTACAGAGCATTCTCCCTACTGCAATAATTCCCTTTGCCTATTGCAATAGTCCTTTTCCCTCCCTTATAATAACCTTTTTGAATAAAGTCTCTCCTTACTAAATCCTGATTTGTGTTTTTATTTGATAAACCTGTGCTATAATGTTATTATTGGTCTGTCTTCCCTACTACAAATAAGTTCACCAAGTTTAACAATTGTTTCTTTATCCTATAACTCTAGGACTAAATAAGCTATCAGGTCTGTAACTGGCATTCAATTATCAGTTGACTATTAAAAAACTAAGTAACAGCTACTTACACATTATCATATTTTGTCTCCAAGCTTGATTTGACAATGTCAATTGGTTTTTATAACTCAACTATTACTTGCGGCAGTAACATCATACTCTAGTTTTTCTATCTTTTTAATTTTTATTTCTCAGTCTGTTATACAGGTTCCTCTTCTTCTACAAACTATTTAAATATTAGTACAATTTAGGCTTTATTCCTTTTTCACCTCTTTTTGCTGATTCTCCTTGAATGATCACCTTCCTTGCTACATTTTACTATCTCACATATGCTTTTTATGCAGGTAGCTGTATCTCCAATAAGGAATTCTCTCTTAAATTACAAACCTATAAAATGAACTTCCAGTTCCATTTCTCTACTAACATGTCAAAAACTGAAATAATTTCCACATTTGAAAACATCAACAATCCACACCTCATACTGCATTACATATATTACCAACAAAACTATTCTCCACTTTACATACTAGGTAATAAACCCACCTTCCTCTTTCTCTCTTCCTCTTTCCATCCAGTATATCACTAAATCCTATCAAATACAAATATCTTCAATCTGTTCCCTATCATCTATACAGTCTACCAACTTATCATCAGCCCTTATAAATTAGGGCCCAGATTTTGCAACAGATACTTAATTTCCCTCCACTCCAAATTCCCACTCCAATTTCCCTCCACTGCAAAATTACAGACTATCGGATAATTTTTCTAGAATGAAAACCAGGTCATGTAAGATCTTTAAATACTTTGCCGAGATCTTAAAAGATAAAGTCCTGTCTCCTTAGTATTACACATAACACCCTTTGCTATATTAATCCTGTTTTTGTCTCCAGTTCATTTGACACACCCAAACATGCCCTCTAAACTCTAAAAACAATAAATCACTTGTCACTTGACTGTGCCAAGCTCCAGATTTACCTCATGCCTTTGCAAATGCTTTCACTCTGCCTCACATGCTCTATACACTCACCAACACCTTTACTTGCCTAATGATTTCTTATATAAAAAAAAACTCATTAGTATAAATGCTTTTGCTTTCTTTTTTCTGTGACTAGAGAGCTGAACTTCAGTTTTTAAAGAAAATATATGTAGTCCTTTCATAGATTTTTCCCTGTACTCAGATTCATAATGTTTTCATTATTTATTTGATTATTGCTTCTCCTTAATTTGCCTTATTTCTTCTACTTTTCTATTCATATATTTTAAGTAACCTGGAATTCATCTCTGTCTTACATTTTTTCTCATCATTTTCATGTATTTCTTCTCAGTTTGGTGAAGCTCTTCTATCAAAGGCCAGCTTTCTCACATAGTTTTCTATTAGCTTGTCAACTACTCCAGCTTTGTGGCTGAGACTAAGGTCCTTTCTGAAGCTCCTGACTGCTCTATCACAGATGAGTCCTGCCATATACCAGTTTAATATTTATTGTAACTCTGCCTGCACTAAGGCTCTCCATGAAACTTATCCTGTGATCTGTAGCAATGGCTCCTACCTGTCACTGGCTCTACTATTACCCTTGAAAGATAGGGGAATTTGCAGAATCTCTAGTTCCTGTCACTTTGTTATATATATCAGGAAGAATAGCTTAAAGTCAGGCTGACTTTGATTTAGGTTTTTCTTTGATTTAGTCTCATCTTAATTATATCTAAAAAATCTTCACTCTATCTACACATCTATAAATATATACTATATCTCTATCTAGAAGCACCTCAATGAAATAATCTTTTGTTTAAATGTTATCCTTTACTGGTTTCTAGTATAGATGTGATTTCCTCTAATCTTTATGTTTTTTTGTTCATTGCATCTGGGCTCATGGGTTGTGTGTGTGTGTGTGTTGATGGTAACAAAATATGCCATCTGTGGGTAAAATTATAGTTTTATAATCTCTCCCTGGCTTGATCTACATATCAATAGGTGTTTCCAAGGGGTGGAGAGAAGTACTCAATCTACATATCAATAGGTAATTACAAGGGCCAGGGTTTATCTAGACCAGAGAGTTTGGGTGGAGCTCTGCTGCTGCATGCAGCCTGGTCAAGAGAGAGATGGGATGACAGCTTGTAAGAAATAAATGGGTTTCTTAAACTTTATTTCTCCTTTTGACTGATTTCAGTTTCAGAATATTTTGCCCCGGGATTTTCCTCCCAGAGTTACACCATCTCAAAATATGACTGTAAAACTTTAAGTCATGCCTCCCCAAAATATGCTCCTTTGGTATACTGATTATTTTGAGTAGGAGGCATTTGAAAAACAGCAAGTGTGGGGAGAGGCATTCTCTGAACTTCCCTTATATGCCTAAAGACAGATTGTGGATAGGTTCCTGTGGCCAGGATTCTCACCTGGCCCTGGTCGGCTAGCTCACTGCACATGTGTGGGCAATACATTGCTATTGACTCTATATAAAAAGGAGACACAGTGGCATGGCTGCAAGGCTGCAGGAGAGCAGAGATGAGACTGGAGTGATGGCAGTGCCAAGGACAGAGTCTGAGATTGCTGCAGGAGCAGAGAGGCCGAGAGACAGACCAGCTTGCCCCATGCAGGCTCACTCCGAGTGGACAGGATTCTAGTGATAGACCTGCCAACATGGAAATAAAGTTGGGTATACTCCTTTCACCCCAAGAATGTTCTACTGTCATTTCTTTGGTCACAATGAATCTATAGTGAACTTGCCTGGGGCTGAAACACATTGGCAAGAAAATTGGGGATAGCAGGCAGGGTTCATTGTTGACCAAGGAAAAGAAAAGTCTGCCCTCATGGAAGGAGTGTTTCAACGGGCTGCACCTATGGACAGGGAGACATTCAAGTGTCCCCCTGTAGACATGTGGTACTGTGAAGGGGTGGAGAACTGGGGCCCACCTCAAGAGAAAGAAAATTTTTTGCTGACTGAAATGGCATCACTGTGAAGTGCTCTAGAAATAGTAAAGGAGGTCATGATAGCCCAAGAGGAAGCAGCAGCACGAGAAGGAGCAGTGGCCTGAGAAGGAGTGGCATGAGAAGAAGCAGTAAGGGAGTGCAAGCTGCCAGGTG